ACAGATGTACCCTAGGTTATCTTCACAATGCATTCAATCAAATAGTATTTGTATCATAAATTGCCATTTCCCATTCTGTTTTTTTTTTTTTTATTTAAAGAAAATAATAATCCACGAAAACCTTTCTGTACAAGTGTTATGTTCTTAACTACAGTAATACCTCGACTTAAGCGAACCCAGAGTTACGCGATTTTCAAATCTCGTCGATTCGTCTTTTCTTTGAGCGCCACGCAACCCTTGATTACTCACTCCCCCCACACTATTGTTCAGCTTACATGTTCGGATGTGTCGCGCGGAATCCACACATAGCTACAATTTATTTTGCATTATTTATTTCTGTGTTTGTTATATCTACGGAGACTCGAGAGACTCTACTATGTCATCCAAACGAAGTAGAACTAATTCTTCTGCATCAAACAAGAAAAGAAAAACTTTATCTTTGGAATGTAAAGTTAACATTGGGTATGTTCGTAAAGTCGAACTAGTTAAGCGAGAATGAAGTCATCGTTATTCCTATTGCGTTAGTAACGAATCATTCAAAAAGTCTAACGCGTTTAACTCGTTTGACTTTACGAACATACCCATTATTAAAGACTTTGATACAAAAATGAAAATTTGTGAATTGGCAAAGAAGTTTGATCTACCAGAATTGTCAAAAGAACAATTATAAAAGGCAAAGAAAAAAATTCTCGAAGCTGTGAAAAATGCTCAATCTTTAAATTCAAGCATCATTCGTAAACGTCACAGTATTATCGCTGAGATGGAAACAATGTTAAAATTATGGCGTAATAATCGAGTAAATGTGAAAAATTGTAAAATAATATAGGCCTAATTTGTTATACATATGTATTATCTAAGATTTTATTAAACATTTTTTTCTAAATTATTGTTTTCTTTAGTCTCCGGCCCCAATTAAAAATTATTTGTATGTATTTATATTTGAAATTATACCCCGACTTACGTGAATTCGATTTACGCAGTTACCACTCGGTCCCACCTATCACGTAAGTTCGGGGTATTACTGTACTCCACAAACGCTTTCGACCTCCACCGAGGTCTGCTTCAGGTGGTGACCTCGGTGGAGGTCGAAAGCATTTGTGGAGTAGTTAAGAACATAACACTTGTACAGAAAGGTTTTCGTGGATTATTATTACTCAACGAAGTGTTAAGTTGTTGGAAGTCGTTTTGTGTTATTTAAAGAAAATTTCACCTCATGGAAAAGTTTTTGAACAATGACAAATATAGTTTTCACACCCCAATGTTCCACAGAGGAGATGACCTTATTAAATTGTTTAATACTCTACAGCAAGGAAAGAAGAGATTGCTATCTCTGTTAATATTTCTAGACATCAAAGACAACATTTGACAATGCATGGTGGCCCTCAATTTTAAAACTTATCAGAGATATCAAAGAAACACAAGATATTTTCTACTTGTTCAAGGATTTCTTAAAAGACAGAACCACTGAGCTTAAATTAGGCTATGTTAAAAAAAAAAACTGTTCCCTAAATAAAGGCTGTCCTCAAGGCTCAATATCTGGACCCTTATTCCAGAATGTTATTATAAATGACTTGCTAATTAAATTATCAGACTGTTTCTGTTCATCGATTATAAAATCAGCTATATCATTAAAAATAATTAATTATTGATGATTTGCCAAATTATTTTAAAACCCAGAATTTTTTGTCTTCGCCCGCACACCCGTACATACAATGCAAAAACCAGACAGGTGGCAACACTTGGAATAAATAAATTGTATTCAGAGGGATAGCTAAGTCAAATTATGATAGGGGTAGAAATATATGATAGTCATATCTGTGGTTTGTTTTATTGCGATATAGTCATAACCTGATGTATGCCTGTATTTATTATAATCTAAAACTAGTTTTCAGCCCAAAACACATCATGGGCCAATGGATTTTCCAAATTTCTTACTAGGAATCAGTAAAAAACAAATATATTTTTTACATATTTAAAGTTTTATTAATGAAAATGAAGTAAAAGAACTAATGTATTGATAGTAACAAAATAACACATTGAAGTCTTTAAATAAATAATTTAATATATATAATAACTATAAAGAATAAATAGTGTAATTATTATTGATTTTTTTCATTTATTAATTCTTCAGTTCTTAAAATAAATTTGATTCTATCACTTTCTTTCAGATTGCTTGTTTATTCTACTGAATAATATCATCTTGATGATAAAGAAGTGAATGCCAAAAACATAGAAGAGGATTAGCAACTAACTGAATTCATTGCTCAACTATAACAATATAAAATATCCGTTTCCATCAAAATTTTATTATTATTTTATAAGGAGAGTTTTTCACCAGTTTCCAAAAACTCTTTGGAGTTTACTATTATAAACTTCAAATTAATATCAGTCTGCAGATTAACAGATCAAGAAACATAGATCTAGAAAGGATTTAAGAGGACTAAATAACAGGTGTATTATATATAATACAGTTCTTTTTAATTATTTATTTAAATTAAATATTTAAATCATTCATATAAAGATTGTCTACTTAATAAAATGTTATATAATTTTAGCAACTGAATAAATAAAAAAAAGCATCTTTAATTTTAATTTTACATTGTTATTTGCTGTGGCACGAATTTATTCTAATTTTACTGTAGTTCATAATATTCATTGTGATTAAATACAGGTATACCTCGACTTACGTCGTTCCCGATTATATGTCATTTGTCAAAAAAGTATATGGAAAGATAAAAATTGAGTTTAAGTCATTTTATTCGACTTTATGTCTGTCCGCCACAAATATTGAAGCCGTAATATCAATAGAAAAATGTTTAAAACACATAAAATCATATTAAAATATATACATTTACAAGTATGTACTGTATTTACAGTACCTGCATTCATAAATTTTGATTACTTTTTTCTGTACTATATTAAAAACTAAAATTTATTTGTTTGTAAGCTTAAAATAGATCCTTATTAACCATATATTATTAAAAATGCATTAATAAATAAAATACAGCACCGGGAATGGTAATTTATGGTTTAGCCTAGTGACAAGTAGATTCGGAGACAAGTAAATTCGACTTACGTCGCCTCTCCCGGAACCAATTACCGACGTAAGGCGAGGTATACCTGTTTATACAATATGGTCTTGTTTTATACAGATGTTGTGTCAATAGGAACCACATTAACTAATGCTCCACCTGAGGTTTCAGATGATTTCCTAAACATTTGTGCAATCATTTACAGTTAACAGAAAAATTTTGAAATATGTTTAACAATATTTTATTTATGCTTTTACTGTAATGAATAACATTTCACTTCTATCTTTCTAAATATAGAGAGTAAAGTTTATTACACTATATCAAGTATACTAAGCTACTTGAAAAAAAAAAAATATGCAAATCAGGACATTCATCACAGTAAAAGCAGCATTAATTAGTTCTCTGTTTGGAATGTCAAAAGATGAAAAAGTACAGTTTGCTGATTTAAGACAGATTCGGTAAGAGCGGCTTAACTAACTATTCACCATACAAAAACATGAATATTGTATATCAATGCTACATAAAACAAGATGCTGCTGTATAAATTAACTTATGCATATAAGCAAAAGTTTTTTTTTCTTTGAAAAATTATACATTTCTGAAAACAGATATGAAAATTTGCTTTTCATTTTCTGTACTATAACCAAAAATAGATTTTGCAAATTTGGTATTGTTCTCAATCTGAATCAAACAAGTTCTTAATTAGAGCAAAAAGAAAAATTAAAATATAATTACATAGAATAAATTGTGACTAATAAGTGAATTTTGATCATTGGCAGGGAAAATGAACTGTACACAACATAAGAAATACAGTACATTACATAAATTTTACATATATTTCTTAATCTAAAAAAAAAAAAAACAGAAAAAAATGAAGATAAATAATTAGGCTCATAACTAAAAGTGTAAAACCAGAACTTAAAACCCTCCACAATTCTCTACAGATTTTAATTTTTCCCTACTTTCATCTGGACATCTTTGATGTTAACAGAAACCAAAAATTTTTTAAAAAAGCTATCGATACTGCTCTAACGACCGTGACCGATTTCGGCCGTTACGAAACAGAATTTAGAAATATTCTTTTTTTGCAATTCCCCAAAGCGAATCGTCACTGGCCGTTAAGTCGGACTTTGAGGAAACTATTCCACGTCGAATCTACGTCCGATCCGGCATCTACCGAAACCGTCGTTAAGACGTTCTCTAACAGTAGGACCCGAGATATAATTTCACAAATAGACTTTGCGACTAGTCCGTAGGTAATCGTCCAAGTATACCGGTCGTACGGTCAAACGGATAACATATCGGCGAAGAGGGACGGTTAAGACCCGAAATGCATTTCTTACAATAAAACCTCCGTCGACAAATGCTCCTCGAGCGACGCGTCACCCAGGAAAAAACAATAGCTTTTAATTCTTTAAAAATCCACAACTAAACAGTAATGGAAATTTAATTAAATATTTTATTTAGGATTTATAAAATAATACTTGACTATTTTCTTTGATATATTATTATTTAGAAATTCTATTTGATGAATAAATATAGTCTTTGAAATTAAATAAATATAATCTTTGTAATCGGTTTACCGTACAAACAAAGCAGAATTATACAAGTTTAAACTAAAAACAGAATTAAGAAGGAATAAAACAATTATATATAATTAAAGGGATTTCTTGTAGAGTAAAAAGATTTTAAATCAATATTTTTAAAAGTATAATTTGGTTTATATTCGTTTCCGTATTAAATATTGAAAGTACATTTCTTTCAGAAAATATTACAATACTTTTACACATTATACAGTGATTGGTTCCTGGAATAAACGAACATTCGATATTAGATAACAATACGAATGTAATGTAAATTTTTGTATTATTTAGTTAATGGTGTAAGTAGCGTGTTAAGGTAGTGTAGCGTAATACAGGCGTACCGAAGTATTTCAATAAAGGCAAGAAATTGAGACGAGAAACTTACTTGTTTTATAGCAGATATGGTATTTTCGGGTGCATCGTGACTGGCTCCACGATGAGCGAAGACGGGTGAAACGTTGGCATTATCTCCATATATAATTTTCGACGTTACGTTATCGTCGACGGGTGAAAACACGACATATTGCAATCCAACGGCTAAGAGAACCAAAGCTATGCACGTTAGATATAACGAAGCCATCAGATACATATGAAAGAAATAGGAAAAGAAAACGAGAATCCAGATGATAAAACAAGATACGACGATAGGCAAGGGCGGTAACATTCCCACTGTTGCCATAATAATGAATATTTTGTAATATTCATAAGCACTATTCCGTCAATAGAAGAACGGCCATCGTTACCTGTCTATCGACTCATATATGCTCTATGGTATTTTTTTTCTATTACACAACACGGATTGCAGTTTATTTCCCATAAAATCGTTTACAAATACCACCATTAATTGTCATACTTTTGTTTTATTACGCCATTTACCATCCGACCGGGTACATTTCAGAATTAGTGAAAATGGGATCTGCTTATTTTTTGTTAATAAAATCGTTTTATTCAAATATTAAATACGGGCAAAATCGGGAACGTTTCGTAACTGTATATGTGAAAGATATATAAATTTTTATACATTAATATAAGTGTTATTTTCTACATATACAGGGTTGATGACGGGTCATTTACGATAGGCTATTGGAGGAATTGTTTAACAATTTAAACCGAATTATAAATAGTAGGAAAGAAATTTAATAGTTATAAGACATTCTATGTAGAGCCTATACCGTAATAAATACGCGCAGAATTATGTATTGTATTAATTGATTTTTTAAATTGTAAATTATAAATATTCAGAATTTATAACATAGAATGTATTGATTTTTTCCTTATATAATTGTACGGTACGTAACCGAAATGCTAGAAGTATATTCATATGATATTGGTGGCTACACGATACATAGACCGAAACGTAAATGCATTATCCTGTAACTCTGCAAGACCAGAATTAGAGATTTGGCTGGAATGCGACCAACCATATGGCACGCGTATTTTCCGAAACGAGAACACACATCCTCCTTTTGGATACTATACGGACACGTCTTTCATTAATGATTTTTCATCGGTAAGCCTAGCCTTATCCTTCATTATCTAAGCGTCGATACAGAGTGAAAATGATTTTTTTTTTTTTTTAATTCTTTGTATATGATATCAATATCAAATAATTTTGGATGTAAATTCCTCGTTTGAACAATTTTCAGAATCTGTCCCATTGATTTGATTTATTAAATGAAAAGCCTGCAAAAGGGATTAAGGAACGAACGAAAACGTTTGTTGTAAAAGCGTAAATGTTTTTCATTTTACAAGTTATCTCTTCCTATTTTAATTTTGAATTTGATTTACACGTTCCCCTTTTTAAACCAACATCAAATATTTTTTAAATAAATAAAATGTATTTTAACAATCTGAAACCAAATCATTTTTTCATACAATGTAAGTGTTATTTTTTGAATCGTTCCCGATCTGAGGACATCGAAAGAACCTTCGTAATAGGTTCGGTTTGGCTTGGTTTGATAGAATAAGGTAACTAGAGACGTATCTAAGAGAGTGCTTATGGTGCTGCAGCGACCCTGTTGTAACTGATCTGTTGTAACATGATCTGGCGTCGAGTCAATTCCTACATATTTTCGTTTGTCTGAGAGAGTTCTTGCGTAGTCGTTATCCCAGTCAGTTGTATCCGAGAGTGAATAAAGTTAATTGTTAACTAACTACGTGTTTTTATGTGAAACAGTGTCGAAAACAAAATCGATATAAAAAACCCTTAAAGTATCCAAATCAGTTTTGATACTATAAAATAAAACTAAGTAGAGTAACATATATTGCATGATTTCAATCATGTAAGATTAGGTGACTAAAGTAATCTTAAGGTACAGTAATTGAGTAACATTCTCCGAAAAACGACAGAGGACACGTGCTTTGATTCCCGAATCTGCCTCGAACAACGCCCACATTGTCAAATTCCTGAATACTCCACTGATGGCAACGTAGCATTTGGGCGAATTGCCAATTTCCCGTAGAAATGCATCCCGGGAATACTTTCTATGGGAAACTGATCTTTACTTAGGTGTTATATACGTGAAGAAAACCTCAAAAAACTCCGCGTAGCCAGGCCGTTGGCGAGGGTCCCCTCAATGAGTGGTTTTATCCATTCGTCCATCCACTCATTGAGGGACTCGTTAGTAGATCGCGGACCAACGAGCTGGCCATGTGGAGTTTTACGGGTTTCTTCACGTGTCTAAAACCTAAATAGGGGCTAGTGTCCCAAAGAAAGACCCCCCGGAGGCATCACTCCTTGGCAGATTACTCATATGTTACATTACCGTATTCCATAAATCAAATCAAACGTTGATGAAGCACGAATCCACGACTACTAATGCTTAGTAGTTTTATCTACTTAGCCACTGATGAGCCTCGTGGGTTCGGTCCGGCTCGAAGTGGGACGACCGAGTGATGAGGATAATACTCTACGTGAGTATCAGGTCATTTGTGAAATTTTTGAGGGTCCGAACCTTCAGGAAAGTATCTCGGCTATTTATCCTACTTAAAGTGGTATCTTATTGACAACCTAAATAGTGGCGTAAATTAGGATGTTTCAAATTTTTACAAGATATTATTATTATTTATTGCGAAATTTTGCCGCCCCTACTACGGTACGCTACTGAACCTAAATAATTATTTAATTTAGTCTAATCAAGATCGAAACAGTAAAATGTTTTATGAAATCTTGAATTCTGAATCTTGTTCTATATCACGAAAACACAATATCAATAATACTAATCACAATTTGATTCATTTTACGATGTAATCGCTTTCATTTTTAGCTGTTAAGAGTGGGTCTGACCCACATTGGGGTCTTCTGGATGGTGAATAACACAGCCCAACATATTAAAGTTATTTTAAGCATTTTTGAGGCCTCGATCTAATTTCTCTAGAGGCATTTCTTTTTTCTGTTTCGTTTTTTTAACTGTCCGCACTGTAGGCATTAACTAAAGAATGAATGTGACTCCGAAGTCACCCGTACGTCTCAGGTAAGCAATCAGATCGCTGTATATTACCGAAGTGACTGAATTAATACTGGAAAAATAAAAGTATTTCACAGATAGTCACTAAATGCTAAGAGGATAATGCAAAACGAAAAAGAACATTATTATGGATATAGATTACCTGGATAATTTACTAAAGAATTTATCCCAAGCTGTTAGATGAGTTGACACGATTGTATAAAAGTTAGCATTAAATATGCATAAAATGTTAATATATTATTGTATATATTATATACCCAGGGTGGCCAAGCTCCTTGATAGTCCGAGCCATTTTTCAAAATTTGAAATTTTTCGCGAGCCGCAATTAGATACGTATTAAAAAGGTATGCAAAAAAAGTATTAAAAAATTTGTTTTACAGAAATTATATTTGTTGAAAACATATAAATAAAAGTACAAAATATGTGTATTGAATTTAAATATTAAAAATTAAACACATTTATTTTACTTCTTTTGATAATTCTTTAAAATTTGGTGACAGCACTTCTGAGTAATTCTTTCAGATGCTGGTTAGTTAATACTGATCGGTGTTTGGATTTCACAAATTTTAAAGTGGAATAAAATGATTCACATAAGTACGTTGTTCCGAATATTGAAATAATTCGGTTAGTAATTTAAAAGACATTTTGAAACACATACGGAACAATAATAATTTTTTAAAATATAATAACACAAAAATGAAAAGGGACCTCGGGTACATTTATCGAGAGCCACAAATAATACTTCAAAGAGCCGCATGTGGCTCGCGAGCCGCAGGTTGGCCACCCCTATTATATACAATACATAATGTGTACATTAATTAGGATACTACAGTAGTGAATTATCATAATTATGTTGCTTAGTAATGATGATAAATATCGTCGTAGTTACTTCTTATCTAAAGGGATCATCCGTAAATTATGTAACGTTATTTTTATGCTTTAAAACTACATCTCACCCCCTGTAACGCTCTGTAGTACCGTTGCAAATACCCATCCCCGAAATTACGTAACGCGTATCCTCGATCAACCAAGGGCTCTTAATTGTATTACGGAATAATACACAGCACGGAAAAAGAACATTATATATTTTATTAGGCCTAATTACGTGTATAAACGTAGAAAGAAGTCATTCTCTGTACCCAAGGATTAAGACTTTAGCATTACGTAATATTTTTGAAAACACCTTTTCCCCTTGTATACACCTTTGTATACACCCTTGAAAACACCTTTTCCCCATCATAACGATTACCCGCATACTCACCCATCCGTATCCGCGTTACCTAACTAATGGACAACCCAAAATTAAAAGAAAGTTTTTGCAAGGTCTAACAAACAAAAAGACAAAGTACAAATTAAATAACCTTTTTAAAATTAAAGGATTTTTAGTATTTTAGTTTTAAAAGTTTAAAAACGTCTTAAAAGCATATTACACTCACTCAGCACTTGCTTTTAAGACTCAAAAAAACACAACACCTTAATTTGCTGAGAAAACTTTTAATGAAAAGCTAACGTTTTCAGCCAACTCTATTGGCCATCATCAGGCTAAGCTTTTTCGAATACAAAGAAAATAGAACAAAAATTTTAAATACAAAAAAACAAAATAACGAACGAAATATATATATATATAAATAAATGTATAAATAAAAATAAAATAAAATAAAAACT